TGAATTCCTGCATTGCCTCTCACATGATCTATCAGGAGACACCTCAAATTCAAACCATAACGAAGATTCTCTACACATGTATCCAAGTGTATTAAAAGGCTGACTACTATAGAACCATATAACATCAGTAATATTTATAATCTGAATTGTTGCTTTGTTTTTGGCAACAGAGACCAGACCTTGCAAGTATTTCAAACCCTACTCTCCAGTTATGTGTGTGTGTGTGTTGGAAATTGAACCTAGGGTCCTAGTAAGCATGTATTATTCCACTGAGCTACACCCCTAACCCTCCATTTATCTTTAATGTGTTCTATGTCTTGTGTTGACTGGTAGAAATCCTTTGGTATGGAAAATTTGGAATTGGAATGAGAATTGGAATGTATTCTTGCTTCTAACCTAAAGAAAACAGGAGTATATTTTTCCAAACTTATTTTTTCAAAGTAAGTGTTTTTTGCAAGCTAAGGCGGGAGATCACTTGTGCTCAGGAATTCAAGAGCAGCCTGCATAGTATTATGAGACCTCATCTCAAAGTAACAACAAAAAAAGTCGTTATTAAAAGAATAAGTATGTTCTTTAAAAAGTGAAATTATATTTAAGGACTCACATTTAAAAATCAAGTTTAGGTCTGGTTTGTGCCAGGAATCATTACTGATCTTCTACCTCTCTTTAAGGAAATCTCACTTGAAGGAATTTCTCACTTTAAGGAATCTGGAGATCAAGTCTCAAGAATGTTTACAACAGAGCATGTGATGGTTCACACCTGTAATCCAAGCTTCTCAGGAGGCTGAGGCAGGAGGATCTTGAGACCCTGTCTTGAAATAAAATCAACTAAGGATAGAGAACATTTTTACTCTTAGTAAATTGGCATTTTAACTTTCTTCATATTGCATTTGACACAAATTATAATTCAAAGGTATGTTTTAGAAAGAGTAGATTGTTCAGCATTGACATAAGTATACTTTTTGTTCATTTCTTTTTTGGAAAAATTGGTTATAGGAAAAAACCTCTTTTGGACTAGATTCTACTCTGTGAATTTATTGAATGCATTTCTATAAACTGCTTCTTTACCTTCAGACACTAAATCCAAACATTAAAGGTAAGATAGTCTGATATGAACCTTAAGATAAGCTATTTTGTCTTTTTAAAAAATAAAATGAGGTTATCAAATTACTAATTGAAATACAAAAGTGAATTATTTACCTTCTCTGGAAACAAGCAGAGTATGAAAGAACATATATATATATATATATATATATATATTGGAGAGGGAGAGAGAGAGGGAGAAGAGAGGGAGAGAGGGAGGAGTGTGTGTGTGTGTGTAGTATATATTTTATTACAAATGATTCAGGACACAGAATATTGAAAGTGAACTCAGTTTATAGGCATCCTTCAAGTAAAGAAACTTTTTCAAAAATTTAAACTCACCAAGTCAACTAAATACAATCTATGGAAGGATTAATTTAATGTAACTATATGTTATGATTTAGATATGAGGTGTCCCCTAAAACCCATGTGTGAGACAACGGAAGAAGGTTCAGAGGAGAAATGATTGGGTTATAAGAGCCTAAACCCACTCGTGGAGTCATCCTCAGATGGGATTAACTGAGTGATAACTGAAGATGGAAGGTTGTGACTGGAGGAGGTGGCATTGGGGCCATGCCTTGGAGTACATACTTTGTATCTGGTGAAGGGAGTCTCTCTTCTTTCTGATTTTCATGTGAGCTGCTTCCCTCTGCCATATTCTTCCACCATGATGTTCTACCTCACACTGAGCCCCGAGGAATGGAGCTGGCTATCTTTGGACTGAGACCTCTGAACCCACTAGCCTCTAATAAACTTTTCCTCCTCAACTTGTTCTTGCCAGGTCTTTTAGTCACAGAGTGAAAAAGCTGACTAAAACACATGTAAGAAAGAATATTTGAGACCTGATATTTATATGTCAGGTGCTGAGAATGGAGACAGAGATTTACTCTGAAGTCTGAGCTTAAACTCAGGATTCCTCATTTGCATGAACTTCTTTCAAGGCCACCACATGATCAATTTTATTTTTTAAATAAAAATTGAAAAAAGTAAAATATTTAAACCTTGCTCAGTTAATTATGATGTCTCTCATTTTAACTTTTAATCAATTACAGTTTCCCTTGTGTTTAGATTTTTTTTTAATGATAATGATATACAGGAGATTATCAATTGGGAGTACAATAGCTATATAGGATATATTTCCTTGGTCACTTGTGTCTATATTGTTTATTATAAGGAGCTGTCTGGTGTAGAAATGGGTTCCAGGAATACTGCAGTCTCTACTGTGCTAATTGACAGGATCCTATGATGAAAGGGTCACATCTTAATATAATGACATCCTACTGGATTAGTTTTATATTGCTAAATAAGAAATTACCACAAATTTAGTAACTAAAACCAATACTAGTTATTATCACAATTCTTAGGGTGGAACTCTGGGTATGGTGTAGCTGAGTTTTCTATTCAGGGTTTCACAAGGCTTGGCTGCCATCTCATCTGCAGTTTGGAGTCTTTTCCCAATATCGCATGTTGTGTTAGCACTCAGTTTCTCACTGTTACATTTCCTTGCAGGCTGTTAGTGGGAGCTACCCTTAGCAACTAGAGGTCACTTGCATTCCTTGGCACATGGCTTATTTCATCTTTAAAGCCAGCATAGGGAGTTTCCCTCATTTTAAAATTCTTTTTTTGCTATGAAACTGTCAAGTAGGGCGTGTCTTTTAAAAAGGCCACAGCTGATTACTCTGGCCCACCCAAGATAATCTCCCCATTTAAAGATCTACTGATTTGGAAAATTACTTGCCTCTTTCAAAATCCCTTTATAACACTGGGTGTGGTGGCTCACTTTCCAGCTACTTAGGAGGCTGAGGCAGGATTTCAAATTTGATGCCAGCATTGGCAATTTGGCTAGACCCTCAGCAATTTAGCAAGACCCTATCTCAAATTTTAACGTACTCCTGGGTTCAGTTCTCAACACCAAATAAATAAACAGCAAAATCCCTGTATAGCTGTACCTAAGTAGTGATTGACTGAGCAACTTGGAGAAAGTGTGTGTAAACCAGAGGATGGGGACCTTGGGAGTCATCTTAGATTGCTGCCTATCACAACTGCAATGTCCAGCACCAAATGTATGCGGGTTACTAGAAGTTCTACCTTATTATAAAGGTTTTCAACTCCAAGTATGTATTTTCATAGGCTGGGAAGAAAATTCAAACACAAATAAAATGAAAATTTACTTACATAGCTTAAATATATAATATACAATATATAAATACAAAATATAAATAAATATAAAATACAATATAAATATATAAATATTAAATATACTGAAATGTTTCTATTAGAAACAATAAGTTGAAGACTCTTAATTTATTTGTTAAAGACTTAGAGATTTGGGGCTGAGGATTTAGTTCAGTGGTAGAGTGCTTGCCTGGTATGCTTTAAGCCCTGTGATAGATCCCCAGCAGCATGAAAAACGAAATCCAAAACCCTTTTTTTCTATTAGAAACAAAGAACTCATAAAGACTAATAGAATATGCAATAAAAGAAATCAAGATGAGTGATATAATTAATGTAAATTACCCTGTTATACAGAATTAAATTCTAGAAGTTTTTTGCAGAACACACCAAGAACAGTAGTTCATTTAAAGGAAGAAATAAAGTTTGAAAATTAATAATCATGTTAGTCAGCCATCACTGTGATAAAATACTGACCTCTGTCCCCTGCCCCCCCCCAAAAAAAAAAAAACAAGAAAGATTTATTTGGGCTCATGATTTCAGAGGTTTCAGATCATAGGTGATTGATGTAGACCTGTGATGAGGCAGAACGTCATGGCAGGAAATATGTGGTGGAGCAAAGCTACTCACCTCCTGGTGACCAAGAAGCACAATAGCAGGGAGACATAGAGCCCACTTGCATGTATGTGCAAAAGAGCAAGAGCATGAGTGCAAGAGTGCAAGCAAGTTCTAGGACAAAAAAGAAAATGCTGAGGCAGTAGTATCACAAGTTCAAAGGCAGCTTCAGCAACTAAGGGAGACCTTGTCTCAAAACATTTTTTAAAAGGGCTGGAGATGTGGCTGAGTGGTTTAATCCTGGGTACAAAAAACCCCACCACCACCACCAACAAACAAACCCCAAAACAAAAACCCTTCAAAGGCTCACCCCCTGTGACCAACCTTCTCCAGTGAGGCCCCACTCCCTAAAGTTTTCACCACTTCCCCATAGCACCACCAGCTAGGGACCAAGCCTTCTGACACATGAGCCTTCAGGGAACATTCCAGATCCAAAGTATAACAATAATAAATAGTCTCAGTGCTTTTCTTGGACTCTGAGGAAAGGAACCCCTGCCCTGATTCCTGCACTGTAGTAACACCTTGCCCATTTTAAATTCCGAAGCACAAAGACACAGTTGCCTCTCAGTATCCATGGGAGATTGGTTCCAGGACTTAAGGATACCAAAGTCTTCAAATGCGCAAGTCCCTTATATAAAATAGCATAGCAGTTATAAGTAGACTATGCAAACATTTATTCTTTTTTTTTTTTTTTTTTTTTGGTACAAGGGATTGAACCCAGGGCCTTGTACATGGTAGGACATTACTAAGATACATCTCAACCCTTTTTGTTTTTGTTTTGAGACAAGCTTTTTGCTGAGTTACCCAGGCTGGTATCAAACTTGTAATCCCCTTCCCTTAGTTGTCAAGTTGCTGGGATTATAGGCACCACCATGCTCAGCTATACTTTGAATTATCTTTCAATTGTGTTTAGTATCTAATATAATGTCAATTTTATGTAAATAGTTATTATACTGTATACTGTTATACAGAATAATGACAAGGAAAATTGTCTATTCATGTTTAGTACAGATGCAACTTATTTCCCCAGTATTTTTGATTCTTTGTTGGTTGAATCCACAAATGCTGAATTCTTGGATATGGAGAACCAACTGTATTTATTTATTTATTTTTTGGTCTCATGGCCATAGGAGGCTGGCTGAGAGTAAGAATGGCCGAGGAGTCAGAAAAAGAGGAGATATTGCTATTTCAGGCTGTCTCTTTCCCCAAATCACCAGGTGGGTGTCTAGGTAAATTAGGCACTTGGCACTTGCTCTTTTCTTTCTTACTTTTGCTTGGCTAATGTTTTTTAGGGAGGTGAACTTCTAGAAGAGTGAATTAATTTCTTCCTTCCTTCCTTCCTTCCTTCCTTCCTTCCTTCCTTCCTTCCTTCCTTCCTTCCTTCCTTCCTTTCTTTCTTGTGAAGCAAATGGGAAAGTGTTTGCCTACCCTAGCTTCCTGAGGCATTTAACCAGGTAACTTCCTTCTGGCACTTAGATACATGTACCACCCCCAAATCCAACTTGTTGACAGAGTGTGCGTGGAAGGACTAGGAAGGAGAAAAGTCAATTATGATTTCTAGCTATTTTTTTTCTGATGAGCATAATGTATTTAATTGAGATAAGAGAAGAGCAGGCCTATGGGAAAGAGGGAGTGAATCAAAGATTCAGTTTGGAACAGAACTAAGATGCTAGTAGATTATGTGCTATGAAAGTTCATATTGAAATTTAATCATTATTTTAACAGGTGAGAGATGAGGCCTTTAAGGGGTGACTCTGCCCTCCTGAATGGATTAAGGTTGCTATTGTGGGAGAGGTTTAGGTGTGTGTGTTATAAATTTTGCCTCACCCCACCGTCTTGCATATTTATACTCTCTCTGCTCTTGTGAGATGTCATGCCATGCCCTTGGACTTACCAGCCTCTAGAACCATGAACCTAATAAATGCCTATTGTTTATAGTTTATTCAGCCTGACATTTTCTTATAGCAGCAGAAAATAGACTAAAACAATATTCAAGTGGAGACATCAAATGAGCAATTGGACATTTGAATGAGGAACTAGTGGGAGTTGACTGAGCTAGAGATAAATAACAATATATATCATGTAGCTCATATTTCCAAGGGGGCAAATGTTTTTCACATGTCTAAACAAACATTTGCAGGTCTCTATGATAGATTATATGTTTGTGTCCTCTACCTACTTATCTATTTTGAGTGTCTGACAATTCTTAAAATTCATTATATGTTTACAATTTAAAATGTGTCACTGCTGGGCATGGTGGTTCACACCTATACTCCCACTTACTCCAGAGACTGAGGTCAGCCCAGGGAACTTAGTGAGATCCTCTCTCAAATTAAACAATAAAAAGCGTTGAGAAGTAGCTCAGTGATAGAGCACTTATCTAGCATGCATGAGGCCGTGAGTTCATTCCCCAGTGCTGCAAATAAGAAATGAATGAATAAAAATAAAATGTGTAACAAATCAAATCACCTTCACAATAAACTTGATACATGGTTTTTAAAACGTCTTTATTTTGCAGAGAAAGAGATTGAAGCTTAAAGAGGTTAAATAATTTCTCATGTCATGACAGCTAGTAAATGGTAGTGCTGGGCACTGGATCTGGTTGTCTAATGAGAGTTCTGACCTCCAGTGACAAATTTAGAAGTTATCAGCATATAACAAATAAGAAAAACATATTTGCCCTCCACAAAGAAATGATGTACACTTCATGTTCACAAAGAAGGGATATATTAAGTCTCCTGAGAACTCACAGGATGGTAGATGGAGTAAATCAGGCTTAGAGACTTGATTTCTCTGCACATCAAGCGTGAATCCACCTTTCAGGAATAGACTCATATTAACCTGGTTTATAAATCTGCTTTTTAAAAGCAGAAGGCCAAATTGCAATGAGAAATCACTGCCCCAGAGACAGGGAAATGCAAAATTCATGAAACAAGGCGGCTTCTTATTTTTTAAAAATAATCTTAGACAAAGAGTAAAGTGTATGGAAATATTTAGCGACCTAAAACAAGAAGTCATCCATCTGACTCTTGGGATGATCTTTCTGGGGAAGAAAATCTCTGAAGCCTAATGCCTTTAATCATCTCACTTGCTCTCTTATTTCAGCAATTGCAACCACACCCTTCTGTCTCACCTCACCTGAATGATATTTCTGTTTTGGCCTCTGAAGACATTTGTTACCCTCGCCTAATGGCTTTACCCAATTCCAAACACTTGGATAAGTGAAAAGCTCCCCTGATTTGTGTTTCAATAGATAATACCTGTGTGTGTGTGTGAGTGTGTGTGTGTGTGTGTGTGTGTGTGTGTGTGTTTCACTGGGAATTGAATCCAGGACCTTGTTTATACTAGTCAAGTGCTCTACTATTGAGCTACACTTGCAGCCTGATAATACTAATTTTTATCTTTAAGATCTTCCTTTTTTGAGGTTCTATAGCTGACCCCACTTCTGATGGAAAGTCACTTTAGATGCCTTAATAAACTCAGTGATCTTACCATCAAGTTTTAGCCTCAGGGTCCACTGTGGATCTTTAGTTACTCTCATAGCTTTAGTTTACAGTCCCCAGCTTCATTAATTATTGGCCATACAACCTAGCTACACCACATATTTCATCTGTGCCTTGGTTTCTTAATCTTTTTTAAAGAGTTGACTCTTTTCTTAAAATACCTTTATTTTTATTTATTTTTCTGTGGTGCTGAGATCAAACCCAGTGCCTCACATATGCTAGGCAAGCACCCTAACACGGGGCCACAATCTCAGCCCTCTTAATCTTAAATTGGGGGAATAGAACCAAGTTCATAGGTTTACTGGCTATTAGGTGAACTGTCATTATAAAACCCAATGACTATAATGTTAATCACAGGTGGTTTTGAGAATTATAAAAAGGGAATGGGGGAGGGCAGGGCACCTCATAGCATGAGAAGCAGTAAGCTGAGAGATTTTTAAAAATTAGGCAGTGTCTTCAGAGGTCAAAATAGAAATATCATACAGGTGAGGTGAGACAGAGGGGTATGGTTGCAATTGCTGAAATGAGAGAGCAAGTGAGATGATTAAAGGCATCAGGGATTTTCTTCCCCAGAAAGATCATCCCAAGAGTCAGATGGATAACTTCTTGTTTTAGGTCGCTAAATATTCCATACACTTTACTTTTTGTCTAATTAGGAAAATTAGGTAGTGTTTTATTTTGTTTGAGAATCTATTGTCAAAGGACAAAGTTATAACAATTTAGTTACAAGATCTTAATTGGCTTAATTTTTTATTCTAGAACTGGGAAACACTTTATTCTATATTATAGAGTAAGTTCTCTAATAAACAAGCAGAAGAGGTTGGTTTTATAGACAGAAAAAGAATTGAAGATAGAGACAACCAACAAACCAAACAAACAAAAGCCCCAAGAAGGGAATTGGACATTTAAAGTTACTTTCCTTGAAAGGCAAACTAGAAGGTAGAACAATAGAAAAATAACTGATTAATTACTTTTTTGTGTGTAAGGATTAAAGCAGAAATAACTTCCTTATCATGTCTTTTTGAGAAATTTTGCTGTTATCTCTGTAATACAGGATTCTGAGACAGTCAGATAAACGGTTTAATTTAAGGTTGGGGACTAGAACTTTAGCTTAAGTGACTTTACTTAGATTTTCTGTTGGGGTCCTATGCAGGAGTAGGCCTAAAGAATTGTCTCCTTATAATTTTTATTTAATACCATTTATTAGAGAGTGGTAGTATAGACAGCAAAGAAAGAGTTTTTTTTTTAAAGGAGCACTGGTTAACACATTTAGTTGAAAGATTAGACATCAAGAACATGAAAATGCTTATTGGGTTTAACATTTAGGACATAAATCAGTGAACATAGCCTTTTAGTTTCATTGAAAGAATTGGGATTTTCAATGAGAAAACAGCAGCTTGAGGACTGATTTGAGGGGAAATACAGATGTGCAGAAGTGGAAAAGCAGACCAATATGATACTTTTTTTTTTTTTTTTTTTGTACAGAGGATTGAACTCAGGGACACTTAAGGTACACTTAGAGGTACATCCCCAATCCTTTTTGTTTATTTTTATTTTGAGACAGAGTTTCACTGAATTGTTGAAGATCTCACTAAATTGCTGAGGCTGGCCTCAAACTTCTGATCTTTCTGCCTCAGCCTCCCAAGTCACTGGGATCTCAGGTGTGCATCACTGCAACTGGTCAAGATGTCATTTTTAAGGAGCTTGGCTGTGAAGGGCATAAAGAGGGAAGTGCCTCAGATAAAGTATGTTAGTCTGAGGAAGGACTGATTACCCAGGGAAAAGGTCTAGAGATATGTATATAATTTAGGGGCAATACAAAGGGAGTGGCTGGAGAATCAACCAGATCAGAAATATAGGATGCAGAGAGAACTCTGAGGAGGTAGAATGAAGTGGGACCAAGATATTGAACAAAAGGATCCACCCTGAGCCAGAAAAGAAATGTCTTCTACTGAGGAGGAAGCAATATGGAAGACATACACCTAAAAATATTGAAATAAAAAGTAGAAAATTGGGAAAGTTTGAAACTGAAATCTATACCTTCTTCTGTGTCTTTGGAGCCACTGGCCCAAATGGGTATATCCTATACTCTAAACAGAGAAAGTAGGGAGTAAGAGCCTAAAGAGAAGGTGACATCAAATAGAACATTTGCCTTGATTAATAACTAATCCAACATTGGGGATTTATTATTTAATTTTATTGGCTTTAAGAATACAGGTGACTTACTGGTTTATTTAACTGAAAAGGTGGAGAGATGGGTAGGTAGTCAGTTGCACCATAACTGTCTTGCTAGGAGCTGTTTTGGGTTCCCCTTAGGGTGGCAGTAACATTGCTGAGGAATTCCAGGTCTCAGCATCATATATGAAAACTTCCAGGGCTAAGAAGCTGTTTCTTTCAGGTGTGCTCTTCCCAGAGTACCTAAGTTTTGTGCACAGAACTCCCCAGCAAACCTTCTCTTACACCTCATTGGCCCAACTACTTTTCCTGGACGGTTTCTTGTGGCAAGGAAGTTCCCTTTGGTGGTTGGCTTACCAAATGTAGGGTAAATTCCTGAACCCATCACTGATACAGCTGTGGACCAGCTGTTCTCAAGCAGAACTCTAGCATGCAGGTGTGCAGTAGATATTTTGGATTATTAGAATGATTGCAAGTGGAGGCCATGGTTGCTAAACTTCCTAAGATGCAGGTGATGGCCCTGAAGAGCAAAGAACTGGGCAGCCCTATATGCCAATTGCACCTGATGCTAGGAAATACTGCTGTAGACGAGAGACCCACCCTTGAATTAGCTCACTGGTTCATGGAAGGATACCAATGTCTGGACAAAAGTATAGAAAGAAGGGGAAGCTGGTGCAGGGAAGGCAGCCAACCCCAGCTACTACAGAGATCATAGGCTTTGAAGCAGAGAGCCTGGGATTTAAATCTTGGCTCTGCTACTTTCAAGCTGTATGATCTTGGGCAGGTTAATGAAGCTTTGAAAGCCTTACTTTCTTTAGTAAGTTTTAAAAAAAGGAATAATAATATCCACTCATGATATTACTGAGAGATTAATGGATTAAAAAAAAGAGTTTGAAATGTTCTGGCTCATGGAAGGGGCTCAATGTCTGTTGATTTCCTTTCTTCCTGTTCTTATGTGTATTAGTTTATGGTGTAGCCACTTGATAGAACCTGAAAGGATCAGTACCTTGGCATTTCCAACAAATGTTTTTTTGAGGTGCTAATATCTTCTAATGAGGGCATGAGCCATCATTTAAACCATTAGATTAGGAACATTACAGATGGTCCCAGCACAATGTGTTCATGTCACAGATGGCTCATAATAGCAAGTCTGTATTAATAAACAAGAATAGACATAACAGTTTTAGCTCTGGGCTTTCATTTCTTTCTTAAATATACTATTACTGTATGAAATAAATAAAATGTGTATGCATACATATTTGCTTTCTATCTGTTTCCTAGGAAAAATTCACACACACAAAATGGCTCTCATTTAGCTTTTAAAGGCATCTTTTGCCCTTCAAACACAGGTCTTTGTGATACTGCTCCTTCTGTCTGGAATTTAACCCATAATTTTCTTTGAGATTCCATGCAGATCATTGATTTCCCTGGAAAGGCTGCTCCACCTTTCTGGACTATATGGTTCCTTTAGTTTTTATTCTCATATCCCTGCGTTTTTGTTATCTATTGATATGTTACAAACCACTTCAAAATCCAATGGTTTAAATACTAACAGGGTTATTACTTTTCATGATTGCTTTGGTTGGCCAGGGGTTGGCTAGTGTGCTGAGACAGAAAACCACAAGGCTGGTGTACCTTGCTGACTACCTATGCAACTCAGCTGGGACTATGGGTCAGTGCCCTTGGTTATGTTTCATGTGCACCCCTATATGTGACTGCTTGATTTCTCCCCACAGAATGGCAATTAGATTCTAAGAAACTACATTCCAAGAGGCCTAATCAAACTTTTGCTAACATATATGTTTATAATGTCCCAATGGTGAAAGTTAATTTGTGTGGCCAAACCCAGTGTCATCATGGAAGGAGATTACTAAAGGATAAAATAACAGGAGGCATGTTTCATTGGTGCCAACAAAGTTTACCATAGCTAGTGAACCCTTCCTTCAGAGAACTCATCATTGTTTGCAACTATGTATTTGTCATATTTATATTATTATTTTTTTCTTTTTTCTTGACTCTATTATCTATAAAAACAAAGAACTTTTTGCTTTTTCTGCTAATCATTGTGGAACAAAACCTTATTTTTGAAGATGGCCAAATGACTCAGAAACTAACAGTAGGTGCCACTATGCAGGGCTTGCAAAAGGAATTGGTCCAAAACTGGTCTGGCCAGCGTTAGTAGATCATCCATCTCTTCACTATTTTCAAGAAAGTTGCAGGCATATGGTGCTCTCTCCCCGGAACATGGGGGAAGGGATTGAGGAGCTTCCCTCTCACCTCTGATCAAGTGAGAGGGATTGACATGGAGACCTTAACATATGACCCTTGAATTTTGGCTCACCATCACTCTAGAAAGGGAAGGCAGAGATTGAGTTAAATCATGTGGTCAAGGGCTGGGGATGTGGCTCAAGCCGTAGCCGCGCTCGCCTGGCATGCGTGCGGCCCGGGTTCGATCCTCAGCACCACATACAAACAAAGATGTTGTGTCCTCTGAAAACTAACAAATAAATATTGAAATTCTCTCTCTCTCTCTTTAAAAAAAAAAAATCATGTGGTCAATTATTTAGTCAACCATTCATTTATAATGAAATCCCAATAAAATCTCTGGACACCAAGGCTTGGAGGAGTTTTTAAGTTGGTAAACATATTGATGTGCTGACTGGGTGATATGTCCTGCCTCCATAGGGGGAGGGCACTGAGACTCTGTGTTTTCTCCCAGCTGTAACTTGCCTTATGTTTACTCTTTAAAATAAGGCTATGATTGCAAATATAGCATTTTTCTGAATTCTGTGAGTTGTTTTGGCAAATTATCAAACCTGAGGGAGAATTTTGAATTTTATCCCGCCAATCAGAAGTATGGATGGCCTGGGACCCCCCCCCCACCACCACCACCACTAGAAACAAAAACAAAAACAATCCCCCCCAAACTTGTAGTAGGGATTTAGTGCAAGCCATATTGAGGAGGACTTAGTCCTTATCCTGGGGGTCTGTGCCAACTCTGATAGTTAGCATCAGAAATGAATTAATATATGCTCAGTTGGTGTTACTCTAGTTGGGGTTAAAATAAAATACTGAATAAGTAATCATCAAAATCTTTAGTTGTTTAATATAATTAAAAAATTGATTTCTCATAGTTCTGTAGGTTGACTGGGCTTAGCAGATCAGATCTTACCTGTATAGTAAAATAGTGAGATGGCAACTAAAACCTGAGCAGGTGATACTTGGGCCAGGAAGGCTGGAACAGCCAGAACTGGCTAGGCATCTCTCTCTTTTCATAGCTTTTTCACACCACGATGATATCAGAGTTGTCATACTTCTCCTGTGGTGTCAGTCTTCTCTGTGAGTGAACATTCAAAGAAATCACAAGTAGAAGCTGCTGGTCTCTTAAGGCCCAGTCCTGACAATGAAGCACAGTATCACTTCTGTGTTGCACTGGACAACACAGTCACAAAACCTACTCAGTCTTAAGAGGAAGGGGCACAGAACCCAACTTACTGATGGAAGGAGTAAAAAATAATTTGTGGCTATCTTTAGTTTGTCTCATAGGTTCTCTTTGGCATTTTAGACTGATTGCCACAAACAACATGACATCATGATGTCTGGTTTTCTGTTTATCTCTGACTGTTCTTTCTTAGTCTTCAAAGATGCTATGGGTTGAATGTTTTTGTTCTCTCAAAAATTCATTTTGAAACTTTGCTTCCTGCCCCAATGCAGTCATGTTAGAAAGTGGTACCTAATGGGAGGTGTTCAGGTCGTGAGGGCTCCACTGTCATTAATGGATTAATGCTGCTACAACAGGAACTTGCAGAAGTGGGTTTTCTTTCTTCTGTTCTGTCATAGGAGGGCAAAGTGATTATCCTTTGCTCACCTTTTCACATTCCACCATGTGAGAACACAGCAAGAAGCCCCTCACCAGATGCTGGCACCTTGATCTTGGATTTCTGAGCTTCTAGAACTTTTGATAAATAGGTTTTATAAATGCTGTATACCTAGCATACAGGCTAGGTATGCTGTAATAGTAATGTGTTGTACTAATACAGTAATGCTGTAATAGTAACACAGAATGGGCAGGACAAATGGAACCTTCATTCTTCCTGTACTCAACCTTAATCTCTTCTGATCTTTTCTCCTCATTACTCATTTACTCTTTTTGCTTGTTTTTTTTTTTTTTTTTTTTTTTTTTTTGTGTGTGTATGTTGTGTGTGTGTGGTGCTGGGGGTTGAACCCAGGGCCTTATGCATGCAAGGCAAGCACTATACCAATGGAGCTATATCCTCAGCCCCTCATTTACTCTTGATAATTATAACTATTGTTTTGACTCTATTCATCACTTTTAGGTTTATGATCCTCCTATTTTCTAAAGATGGTTACTCTCCTGACTTACAGCTGAAGACCTTTTACAACACTTGTGGAATGCAACCAAACAGGCTTTGTGACTTTGTCAGATCCCACTCACCCATGAACAGAATTGTGAGTTTTGACTCCAAGTTGGTTGAATCTTCCTTGTATTACTGTCCTAAGAATCTCCCGTTTCCACACAGCTGTACCCTCATTCTTGGCAACTTCCACATTTCCAGAATGACCTAGTCATGGGACCCAAAAAAGTCCAAAAGTTGTGGGAAGGCTGACTGGCTACATGAACAAGAATGACTTATAAGAAATTTAAAAGACATTTACTGTATAACCTACATTTAGTAATTTCCAGGTCATTCAGTTAATAAGAAGAATTGATATGGTTTGTGTGTTTCTACTATTTGTACTTTGTCATAATTGCATTTTATAGCTAAAACATGAACAACTTGTAGCTGAGGATGTAGCTCAGTGGTAGAGCACTTGTCTAGCATGTGTGATGCCCTAAGTTCAATTCCCAACACTGAAAAAGAAAAGAAAAGAAAAGAAAATTAAAATTATAAAAAAAAAAACAAGAGAAACAATGCACAAGTCAGTTGGCCAGTACATGATTCATAGCACTAATTCCTATTTTTTAAGTGTTTCACAGAATATGCTGACATGATATTTAGTAGTAAAAATAAAAACAGGTAGTTGTTCCTGTAAACATCCTTAAGAAAAGATACATATTTAGAAAACCTGTTTGCTTTTAAAGGAGAAGAAATAGACTATGAACATTGTTTAAATAAATCTTAATCTGGTTACATGTATACTTGAGCTCTGGTGGTAGACCATTTCTGTGTTTCATCACTTGTTACCTCTAAGGTGCAAAAACTTAAGTTTTATGATGGACTATTACTGTAATTTCTTTCCTATAATTGGTCTGCTTCTGAGGCTAATTTAGCAATCAGATCACTGTATAAGTATTCCCATTTATGGATGTACCACAATTTGACAACCTCGGTCTGATGCCATCTTCAGTGAACCTCAACAGGCATAAGGCACTATTTTAGGCACTGTAGAGGATATAAAGATGCCTAAGAAGTTAAGATTACAGAGGGAGAGCAGAACTACAAGTAACTGAGTATGTAGCTACATGAGTGTGAAAGAGATACAGGCAGAGTGGTACAGTGCAGGGGAATTAAGGTTTGCTTCTCATTTGAAAAGAAAGAGAAAGGAGAAAGCATTCCAGATCAAGGGGGCTGGGCAGAGGCATGGAGCAGGAGAGTCCAGGCTGCAGTCGGGAATGAGTAAGCCCTGTGCTAACTAATACCCGAGTGTGAGTGGGCGACACCAAAGAAAAAGACTGAACAAAACAATGTGGCAGGTCCTGGACTCTTCTTTCAGAGAGGCATGAGTCATAGAGGCTTTGGGCATGACTGGGATTTGTTCCAACACTGTTCCATGATAATGTCTCTCAGGCAGTACTATGACACTGTTTGATTGCTCAAGCCTCTTGTGTCACTTTTTTTCTGATGGAAGAGACTCATTTTAAAATAAAAACAAAGCAAAATCTCTTATCCTTGACCATGTTCCCTTCTATTAGTTTTATCCTTCAGAACACAGTAGAATCTGTCTCTAACCCTTCCACTTCTGATATGTTCTTTAAAACCTCTCAACTTGTGGGAGGGTGGGGGGGGGGTGTAACTCAGTGACGAAGGACAGGCTTACAATATTCAAGGACCTGGATTCAATCCCCAATACCAAAAACAAAACAAACAAACAAAAAACCCCTCCTGGGGCTGGGGATGTGGCTCAAGCGGTAGCGCACTCGCCTGGCATGCAAGTGTGGCCCGGGTTCGATCCTCAGCACCACATACAAACAAAGATGTTGTGTCCCCCGAAAACTAAAAAAAAAAAAAAAAATGTTAAAGAATTCTCTCTCTCTCTCTCTTTAAAAAAAAAAAACCCTCCCAACTCCTCCAATATCAAGAAAAATCTACTGTAGAAAAATTACATGAAATATTTATGTAATTATTTTTTATTTTTATTTAAATTTTAGAGACCATCTCCTTATGTTGCCCAAGCTGCTCTTGAATTCCTTGAACTCCTCCTTCACCTCCCACGTAGCTGGGACACAGGTGCACACCATCATGCCCAACGAAATACATAATTATTAAAGAATATTTAGACAATACATAGGAGCAAAAGTATGAAGTTAAATTCATGCATGGTCTACTGTCTCAAATGCAATTATAGTTGTTTTATTATACATGTTGCTGTATGTTCTTTAGTTCTTTCCTTTGTGAGTGTATTTCTGTATTATCTGTACACAAAATCCTTCATTTATAAAAATGGACACAAATAATTTTATTATCTGCTTTCATCACTTATTAATAATGCATGACCACTATTCAATATTTTTCTACAAATTCAATTTTTATATTGGATTTATTGAGGTATAATTTATATGCAATAAAACCTTTTTTGTTTTTGTTTTGTTTTTTAAAGACACAGTCTCCCTATGTTGCTCAGGCTGATTCTCAACTCTTGGACTCAAAAGATCTAACTGCCTCACTTCCTGAGTAAAAACTCACCTTTTTAAAGTGCTCATTCCACATATGATTTATCCAGTCACCAAGATAGACATAAGTTGTTTCCAATTTCTGGTGACCAGTAATGAAGTTACTATAAATATTTACGTACAAGTCTTCATATGGACCTACATTTTCATTTTTCTTGGAAAACTTCCTAGCAGTGAGGTTGCTGGGTCATATGGCATGTGTTTAACTTTATAAAAGAAATTGCCAAATTGTTTTCCAAAGTATGCTACCATTTTACATTACATGGTAATATAGGAGAACTTCATTTATATTACATTTACATGGTAATGTTAGGAGAACCTCATTTACTCCAAGCATCTTCACTGGTTTAAAAAAAAATCCACTCTATTGGGTGGAAAGTGGTATTGCATAAGGGTTGTAGTTTGTATTTTCTTATGCTGTCAGTATCTCTGTGATGAAATGCCTGTTCCAATCATTTGCCCATTTGGGGGGGATAAGGGGGCTGTGGTAATGGCATTTATTTTATTATTATTTTATAACTATATTAATAGATTTGGGAGGGATGAGTCCAGATTTGAAGAGACCAATACAATTTGGAGAATTCTTGTTAAGGAAATAAGTATAAAAATTATTTATAAAAACTTGTAAGAGCCTCTCTTAGAGAATTGAAGGAGTCTATGAAGTGAGGGGCCCAAACCTTAACCTTAATTAGGGTCATAGTAAATCTGCCCTGGATGGAACATAACTGGTAACCCAATACCTTATTGTTATTCATTTAAGTTGCTTCCTTTTTTAAATTTAAATTAAATTTTTTATGCCATTAAACTTATATTCAGATAGTTTATAGCTAAATCTTGGCATATATACACATTTATTATTATTATTATTATTATTATTATTATTATTATTATTATTATTTTCAATTTTCTTGGCATAGTCTTCTAGAAGTAGAGTAGCTGGATGATCAAGGAATATGAGCATATTAAAACTTTGATACAAACATCATACTATTAATAATTATAGCAGTTTATACACAACCCCTCCACACTTACCAACTCTCATTATAATTTCTGCTTTTGTTTTATAATGATTTTGTCTCCATTTGACTTGGGTCAAGTTTATACCCACATTGTGTCCCTGAAACTGTTGATATATCACCAAAGACCTGTTTTCCAAATTCTTTTCTGAGTTCTCTTTACTTCCTATCTTCTTGATTTCTCTGTGTCATTTAATATTGTTGATTATTCTACTATTTCTTTGGAAGGGTTCGTCCGTAGCCCCATCTGCAGCTTTCCTGGGATTGCTATCCTCTCCCTTCCTGTCCTCCTGCCCTGGTCATCTTTTGTTTTGCTCAGCCCTTCAGTGTTGTTGCTCCTTGAAGTTCTTTCCTGAACATCATATTTTCTTTCCCTCCTTGTCTCACCTATGCTGACCAATTTTGTGTGTTGACTAGGCCACATACTGCTCTACTTCATTTAATGCTTCTTCCCTGTATGTAGGCTTTGGCCAGACCAAGCTGTTTGTAGTTACTTAGATACAGTAGGCTGTTGTCAGCATATTCATGATGTAAGAGAGCCCGTTTAAAATTAAAATCCCCAATCTCCCATTTCTTAAATTGGTTTTCTGCAACTGAACTTCCTCATGTTAAGAATGGAAACTAAGAAACTGATCCTAGAACCCGGGCTGGCACCAGATTTTAGAAAGGGTAAAAAACGAGGATTGTAACATACTCTCTGTCGAGCATTGCTTAGCAAAGTCTACATACATATATTTCCCAACTTTGGCCCCACTGTACCCCCTTTCTTCTTATAAAAGTTGTTTGTGCCCCTGAATCTTCCCAAAGATGGAGATTTGAGACAGAAAAGATCTCCATTAGCTTTCCTCAGGGCTGGCTTTGAATAAACCTGTTTTCTTCCACCTACTTCTGTCTCCCAAATTTTATGAATGAGCAGCGAACAGCAGAACCTGCGATTCTGATAACAATGATTCTGTCACATTGACTGTGTTTCTGCCACCATCACTCATGCCAATGTTCACCCAGTGATCATTTATTCATCTTTCAAGACTCAAAATTCACCTTTGGCACCAAGTATTTTATAATGTACCCAAGTAAAATCAATTTTTCCCAGACTTACTTTAATCATAGCATCTGAAATACTTTCTTTGTGTACACTTGTGGCATGTAAATAATAGCAAATAATTCCTTACTAGATTAGTTTTTTAAATTTTTTTTAAATTAATTTTTCCTGAGTACCCAGTACAGACACTATACCAAATCTTAAGCTATGCTACAGCGCAATAGTAACAAAAACAACATGGTATTGGTACCAAAACAGACTGGTAGACCAATGGTACAGAATAGAGGACACAGAGACTAACCCACAAAATTATAATTAACTTATATAAGACAAAGGCGCCAGAAACATGCATTAGAGAAAAGATAGCCTCTTCAACAAATGGTGCTGGGAAAACTGGAAATCCATATGTAACAAAATGAAATTAAACTCCTATCTCTCATCATGCACAAAACTCAACTCAAAATGGGTCAAGGACCTAGGAATTAAACCAGAGACTCTGCATCTAACAGAAGAAAAAGTAGGCCCTAATCTTCATCATGTGGGATTATGTCCCAACTTTCTCAATAAGACTCCTATAGCACAAGAATTAAAACCAAGAGTCAATAAACAGGATGGATTCAAACTAAAAAGTTTCTTCTCAGTAAAAGAAATAATCTGTGAGGTGAATAGAGAGCCTCCATCTTGGGAGCAAATTTTTACCCATCACACATCAGATAGAGCACTAATCTCTAGGGTATATAAAGAACTCAAAAAGCTAAGCACCGAAAAAACAAATAACCCAATCAACAAATGGGCCAAGGACCTGAACACTCTCTGAAGAGAGCATACAATCAATCAACAAATATATGAAAAAATGTTCATCATCTCTAGCAATTAGAGAAATGCAAATCAAAACTACTGTAAGATATCATCTCACTCCAGTCAGAATGGCAACTATTATGAAGACAAATAACAATAAGTGTTGGAGAGGATGTGGGGGGAAAGGTACCCTCATACACTGCTGGTGGGACAGCAAATTGGTGCAGTCAATAAGGAAAGCAGTATGGAGATTCCTCGGAAAACTGGGAATGAAAACACCATTTGACCCAGCTATTCCTCTCCTTGGTCTATACTCAAAGGACTTAAAAACAACATACTACAGGGACACAGCCACATTAATGTTTATAACAGCACAATTAAAAATAGCTAAACTGTGGAACCAACCTAAATGCCCTTCAGTAGAAGAATGGATTAAAAATGTAGCATATATACACAATGGAATATTACTCAGTAATAAAAGAGTATAAAATCATGGCATTTGCAGGTAAATGGATGCAGTTGGAGAAGATAATGCTAAGTGAAGTTAGCCAATTCCCCCTCCCCCCCCAAAAAAACCCAAATGCCAAATGTTTTATCTGATATAAGGAGGCGGATTCATAGTGGGGTTGGGAGGGGGAGCATGGGGGGAACAGACGAACTCTAGTTAGAGCAGAGGGGTGGGAGAGGAATGGAGGGGGCATGGGGTTATTAATGATGGTGGAATGTGATGGACACATTATCCAAAGTACATATATGAGGACACGAATTGGTGTGAACATACTTTATATATAACCAGAGATATGAAAAATTGTGCTGTATACGTGTAATAAGAGTTATAATGCACTCTTATCTGTAATAAGAATTGTAATGCATTCTGTTGTCATTTATTTTTTAAAAAATCAGTTAAAAAAGAAAAAGATATTTTTTCCTGAGTACCTAGTACACACACACACACACACACAACTTTTTGGCACTATGATCAAAATACCTGACAAGAACAACTTAGAGAAGAAAAAGTTTATCTTGAGCTCACAGCTTCAGAGGTTTCAGTTCATGGTTGGTCTAGTCCACTGCTCTGGACCAGAGGTAAGGCAGAGTATCATGGCAGAGGACATGGCAGAGGAAAGCCATTCTGTAAATGGTCACCAGGAAGCAATCAGAGCAAGG